AAAATAATTTTATTTTAGTTTTTTTAGTAAAGTAATACTTTATTTATTATTAAATTAAAGTATAATAAAATAATTAATATAATATAAAAAGTAAATTTAGATTTTTTTTATTTAATATAAAAAATTATAAAGATTAGTTAAAATTTAAATGATTTTTATTAGAAGTAATTATTAAGTTTTATATTAATATATCAATCTTTTTATAATAACTCATATTTTAAAAATAATTAATATATACATAAAATATAAATTAGAATTTTTAAGAGATATAAATATTAAAAAAATATATTATATCTTGCGTATGTCAAATGATATTATCACGTGATATCAATTATCCACGTGATGAGATATCTCTCGATAACTAGTGATCGTAATCACGTGAAAATACTACCATTCGATTCGTCATGCCTAGACGAATCAAATATTTTCACGTGATCACGATCGCCAGTTAGCATTTAAAAAGTCATCGTATTGCGAAGGAAATTCTTGTTACGATACTTTGAACAATTTAAAAATTATTATTTGATATATGTTAATACAATAATAAAGCATGATTTTTATTCACTTTTATTAATAATGTCGTCATAAGGAAAAAAAAGGCTAGTACTACTGGTGCAAACGATTTGTACTTGTCATATCAAAGACACTTAATGAAGTAGACATACTATCGTTGTAGCCGGATTTTGTCGTAGATAAAGAAATTATTATCAAATGTGTAAATGCTAAATTACTTTGAGTTATTGATTACTATACCTATGTATAAAGTTTAGCTCTAGTTTTAGGAAAATAAAAAGTTTCGCAAAATATAAAGTTTATTTTTGTATCGCCGGTTTAATACAATTGCAAATACAAGATAATTTTTATTCGAATTTGCTAATGTCATCAGAGCTAAATTTGTTAACAAAGAAAAGGATAAGCTTATGGATGAGATTACTGAACTTAAGGTCAAGGAAGCCAAGCTTAAGATTACTTTTAAAACGAATCATAAAGACTATGTTTATGCTGAATTGAGGCCTATATAGCAAGATTTAAACAAATCAGAATTAGATCAATTTTAGAGGAATTGGAACTTAAATAAATCGCAAATTTCAGAATAAAATGCATACAAATAGCTAAGAAAATTCTTAATGAGAACTGATAATTGAGTATCAGATTTCTTCTTTCAAAAATATCGAATCGCAAGGTGCTGGTATAAAGATGCCGAGGATATCGTTAATTGTGATTGGCAAAAAGATTAAGAATTCAATACAATATCTAAATTGCAGATCATATGATCTGATACCTAATTTTAAAGCGAAACGTGACAATGTTTCTGGCTATTCACTAACATCACCCTGACATTATGTTCAGAAATACAGATAGCGTGATAGAATATATTGAGACATTAATTGGGTAATGGCGATAACAGATGTAACACATACTAAAAATACATTTGCATTGTTCGATGGTGCAAAATTTCGGAAAGGAATAGAACAATGGGGAATGTTCTCGAATCTTTTAATCATCATCATAAAAGGAAAAGCTATTTCACTACCGGTATTATCAATTATTTATCAAATTGAAACCAACTCATAAAAATGCCAATCGATTATAGCAAGTGGGATAAACTTGAGCTCAGCGATGACGAAGATTTCGAGTGTCACCCAAATGTTGACAAAGCTTCTTTTATCCGTTGGAAACAGGCAGAAATTCACCGAAAACGTGAAGAACGCCGTGAAAAAATAGAAACTCTCAAAAAGCAAATCGCCCAAGATGATGAATTGCTTGTACGTATCGACGACATGATCCAGCAGGTGGAAAGCGAGGGTGTGGATGTGTTCTCGAAGAAGCACGAAGAGCTTCAGGAGGCAAGCCAAAAAAAGGACTATGAACAAGAAATGAAGGAAAGAGAAGCTTGGAAGAATAATGTGGAACCGCTAGATTTTCCTCCCAAACCCCTACCAACTTTGGATGATATGATGGAAGCTTTATTTAAAAATATTAAAGATGAGCTTGAAATGGAAAAGTTAGAGCTAGTGAGTGAAAATTTGGTAGAAAAGTTGAGATTCCATCGTAATAAGTTGGCCGATCAACAGCAGATTGCTAGGAGAGAATTGGCAACTGAAGAAGCAGAAGCCAAAAAAAAGATCACAATGGATGATATCCACACTGGATTTGATAAAACGGTAAGTTTAATTAATGAAAGAATGAATCAACCAATTCATAAATTAGAAGAATATCACTTATCACTAATAATTAATTGATAAATAGGCTGTCACTAAAGTCACGAAACCTGAACTGCCAAAACCTACAAAGAAAACCGAAAAAAAGACGCAAAAAGTTATCGAAGTTTTGAATCCTAATGCTAAATTAAAACCTTTAGATGTTGGTATTATTTACCTAATAATTGCCTTTTAATTTTTATTTGGCTAGTCATTTATTTTTTTTTGTTATGTCAAATAGGAAGCACCCAAAAAGGAAGAGAATTTAGAGGATGAAGACGAAGAGATAGTCATGTCAGATATTGCTAGAGAGTTTTCAAAAATTAAAGATTACGAGGGAAGCTATAAATATATATCCAAGCATCCCGAAGTAGTGAATCAGGAAATAGTTGATCAAATATTGGCAGAAGCATTCCAATCTCAACTGAAAGGCAAAGCAAAATATTCTAAACAATGTGTGCATCAAGCATGGCTTCTACAATATTGTCAACAATTGGGTAAAGATGGTGTTACTCTCTTCTTTAAAAGGTAATTAACCTTTGAATATCATCAAATTATATTAATATTGTGTACTAATTAACTAAATTAATCAAATCGAAATAGAATAACATCACCGGAAGCCCAGGAACAAGCGCGTAAAATATTTAACAATGACGTTGAAGAGACATACGCTCGTATAATTGAGCGATGTAAAGTCATGGAGGAAGAAAAAAAAAAAGATCCAAAACAAACCGAACAAATCCAAATTGAAGTAGTTGATCCAAACAGTTCTATCATGATACGAATTCCCAAAAAAGATTCAGAAGACCCTACGGAAAAAGAAGCATATGAAACGTACTTGACGCTTCCCAACGATTTTAGAGACGCGCTTGAAACAGGTGAATTGGCAAAGATTAACAAAGAACTCGGTAAAATGCCTGTTGAATTAGCGGAAAATGTCTTGCAAATAGTTGGCGAAGCTGGGGTTCTCTCAATCGAAGAGGGAGTTATTGATACGACTAAAGGCGAAACTATCGAAGCACGAGAAGCTGCTGCCGCAACAAATGCCGCCGCTACTGCCAATGAAGACAGTATGGAAGCATAAGATGAAATTTAATTTAATCTTTTCTGACATTATATTGAGGAGAGTCGTAATTATTTTATTATATGGATTGCAGTTATGTAAATATAAAAGAGTATTTATTCGATATCATTTAATTACGATTTTTATTTGCTTCTATTTAAATAAAAATACATCTGATTCGACAAGAATAGAATAATTGACCAATTGTCATTGTCGTATACATGTAATCAAATATCAATGCCGGCGAAAGAATGGCCACTTACGTTTTTTGCTATAGCGTTTCCTCCTCCCCAATAATGTTTATATTACCAAATTAGAAAGTGAAACGTCATTTTAAAAAACAAGATTAAACAATGACTTTTAGTATTGTTTATATCTTGTTTTTACATCTCAGAATGACATCAACCCCTCTTGAAGCACAATGAAATATCATTAACTTGTTCTGGCAACAAAACATCCAAAATTCAAAGAAAATTTCCCAGTGATTGGACATTTCTTTATGATTCTGTGAGCAATATGTCAGTTTATTATATAAAACTGGCAAAATTTCCATTGGTCACTCATCTGATTGCTCTCAAAAGTTGACTTCTCAAAAATACTATTATATTGAAATGATTATAAAACATAATCATTTTATTATAATATCAGAGTTCAAGACTAAACTAGAAGAAAATGATTTTGAACTTGAGATTAATGAATATATTATTTATCATAAGCTCACAAATCTTAGTTTTATTTTAATTCTTTTTAGAAGAGTTCTTTTTTTAATTCAATAAGTAAAAGATTATTACTTGTCTTGAATATGTAATCATATTTGATATAACTGAAAAAAAATTAATTTTTCTAATAAAATAATAATTTAGATATTTTATAATATTTTTCTTACATAATTTTAAAATGCAAAATCTGTTATATTTATAATGAAATATCTATTTAAAGTTTATATTTGAATAGTAATCAGTATTAAGAGAAAAACTAGGATATATATAAGATTATTTTGTTAATGATTATAAACAAGATAAAATATGATATAAACAGTTTTAATTTTATAACTTATGATTATTTTTATTATTTAAAAATATTCAAATCTAAAGGTAAAAATACAGAACAGAAAGATATTATTTATAAAAAATAAAATAATAATAATCTATAATTAAAATATATATGGATTGAATAGAATTAATTAACTTAATTCACATCTCTGGAGAGTAACTAATTATAATCCAATAAATAATAATATAAATAATAATAAAAGAAAATGAGTAATAATATAAAGAAAATATTAATAATAAATATAATTAAAATATTAATAATCTAAATTAATAATTGTAATATATATAATAATTATCTGTATGATAATATACTAAATCTAATATATTAAATGCATAATGATTATTTGTATATCCAGAATAAAATTAATTTTCATAAAAAAGTAATATAAAATTAATTTATAATATAGATAATATAAAATAAAAATCTAAACTAAAAGAAAGATAATTTAATTAAAATTATTATATATCTTTCTACTTAAAGTATAATAATTCAAATGTGTAATTTCTCAAAAATATTAATCTTCTTTATGATATTTTTTAAGTTATCAAGAGATTTTTATATAGTATCATAGAGAGAATAACTAAGCTATTTAACAAAATATTAGAATTTGTGATAATAAATTTCTCTTTTCTCTTGTTCTATTAATTTAGCTAGCATATTACTATATTTATATATTTTATTTATAATTATTTATTTCTTTATTTATTCATTAATAAGTATCTTTCAAAGGTACTATCATATAAGTATTATCTATTATTAATTATATTTATTTTATTATTAATTTTATATAACATTAAATTATTATTTAAAGATATTATTTCTATTCTGTATTTTTAATAATAATGATAATAACATAATAAAGAATAAGTTTTAAATATAATAATCTTGTCTGTCTTGAATTAGTTTTCTATGTGAATTCTATTTTAATTAATATCGTCATATATCTTGAATCTTCTGTGTGAATTTTCTTAATATATTATACAATATAACTAGAAAGATTATAACTTTGATAGTAGTAAAAAAGATTAATATTATATATACATATGCATACATATATATATACTAATAACTTCTTCTTCTTATATACTTTCTTACTTATATTTAACACATATACTTATATATACATATATATATATTCATAATATCTGATTCTGATTTCTCAAGTGAACAATTTTAATAACTTCTCACTGGTCTTACTAGTCTCATCTGATAATAGTAATAACTTACTACTACTCTTAATAATAATCATAGTACTGATAATAATAGTTAATCAAATCATAACTCTTCTGCATCAAGAATTCCTCTCAAGATTCTAACATACAAAGGAAAATTACATGAAAATATTAATATCTGAATATTACAAATAACTAGAGTATTATATATATAAGAAAACACAGATGAACAAACTTATATTCTATATGCTAGAACTGGTCTTAAAGATGTCATCCTTTATTAGTATTTGAATAAAATACATACTACTAGAGAAAATCCTGCTTTTGAAAATTAAGAATCTTTTCTTACTGAATTCTGTAAAGTATTTTAATCATCTAACTATCAACAATATCTTTATCATCAGCTTTATTAATTTTATCAAACTAGTACTATATAAGAGTATGATACTAAATTCAAAAATATTATAGAACAAATTGAAGAAATAAGAGAATTAAATCAAGTTATATATTTTATTAATGATCTCAAATCTGTAATAAAAATAAAAGTAGTATATCAAGTACTGAAAACTTTTAATGATATCTAAAAACTTGCAATTCATTATAATATAGCTATATTTAATATTAATCATTCTCTTAAAAGTAATAATCATAATCATAATCAAAAATATAAAAGAAATCAGAACTTCTCTTCTAATAATACACATAATGATACTAGTTTCACATTCATGAAACTAAATTGCACTGAAGATTCTTATCAATATAATAATAATAGTAATAATAATAATAATAATCATGATAGAAATAATAATAATCATAATTATTATAACTGTGGCAAATCAGATCATTTTGTTAAGGATTATCATTCAAAAGTAAAAGCAAAAGTCAATAATATTGAAGATAATAATAATAATACAATCACTATACAAAATAATAATATTAAATTTGCTTATCTCAAGAATAATTATGAGAAACTTTTAAAATTTAATGACTATATGAATAGAAAGTCTGCTTAAATTTTACTTGATAGTAAAGTATCACAAAATTTTATTGATGAAGCATATATTTAGAAAAATTAGCTATAAATACATAACATAAATTCAATTACCATAGAACTTGCTGATGGTTGTAAAAAGAAAGTTAACTACTCTGTAATAATCAAGAAATTAAAGTTGTATACTTATCATATATTTGATATTAGCATATAAGTTCTTAATATTCAATACTATAATCTTATACTTAGTAAATTATAGCTTTATTATGCTAATCCTACTATTGACTGACATAATAATTTCATGATATTTAACTATAATAACAAAGTAATCAAAATTAATATTAGTAAAAATAAATTTGTATCTAGTTACAACTTACTTTATATCTTTTGATAATAATTTGCTAAAATTCTACCTAATATTAAATTATTTGCTATTTGTATTATAATAAAAGAAATATATCAAGAAATATTAACTTTTCATAAAAGTAATAATTAAAAATATATCATTTCAAGCTGAAGAATAATAAAATTTATCTAAAGGATACAGATTGACTTGCTATACTCAAGGATAAAGCTTTAAGAATATAAATCTTGAAAGAATATCATAATATCTCTATCTTTAATCATCTATGAATCAATAAAACTTATGAGTAATTACAATAATACTATTATTAGTCAAAAATATTCAAGAATATTTATAAATATATCCTCAGTTATGAAGAATATCAAAGAAATAAAAGTAATAATCAATCATCTATAGATTTTCTACAACTCTTAAAAATATCTGAACAATACTAGAAACAAATTACTTTGAATTTTATTATGCAATTATCTATAATGTAACAATTTTGATTGGGTTATCTTCCTTTAGATCTCTTTTAGTTTAGATCTTTATTTTGCACTATCTGTATAACA